ATCAGATTGCATTTGCTCTGAACCCATTCTTTCTCTTAAGATATTAATAAAAAGGTTTAAAGAACCAAAAAAAAAGTGTTTTTTTTTATTTATTGCCCTTGTACCTTGGATATATAAAATATGTGCAACGCGGGGAACATTGGAACTCTGTTCTTTTATTAAATATCAACAAGAAAAACAACACATGTAAATTTAGTGATTCAATATGCATGTATAAAAGATAACCCAAATTCATTGAAATCACTCGTAATATTTCCAACGATTCCAGATAACCTTCAGTATAGACCAATTGTAAGACAAACTATCCAATAATCATAATAAAAGTTAGATGCATATCATCAAAATCAACATGTTTGATTGCCTTGCCCCCAATTTTTTGTATGTAAGATCTAACCCACTATTCAAACGGGCTCTGGGTCGTTCTATTGCCTTTTTATTCAATGCATTCCTCCAAACTCGCCTTGGAAAAAATGTATGACCAAATAAATGTTGTATTTGGTAACGTTGATTTTAAATAATGTAAAGTGTCCTTTATATTATGTAACAGTTTGCCATTTTGTATGTTACACAAATCATTACCACCGCAATGAATAAGAATTATTGAAGGTTGTTCTCTCCATTTGAACACAAAGGATTGAAGGAAACATATGCCGAAACATTCCTGGCCTTGAGGTCATAATACTTTCGAGTACGATAATCGTACTCAGACTCAGAAATCAACCAATCAAAATACTGGATTTGCTGTTTCGAGCACAAAATTTGCACTCCGAGTACTGAGTAAGGTTTAATGGCTGAGTGCCCTGAATGGCCTATCAAAACAATAGCGTGTCCAAGTTTATCCAGACCCAGATCATTTTTATGTCCCCGCCGTAGCGGAGGGGGCATTTAGTTTTACCCTTATCCGTCTGTACGTCCATCCGTCCGTACGTCCCAAAGTTGGTTTCCGTTCTCTAACTTTAGTTTGCCTCAACTAAATGCTATGAAACTTATACACAATGCTTATTGCCACAAATTACAGATCAAGTTTGAATTTTGGTGGTGTCACTTTAACCGTTCTAGAGTTATGCACCTTTACAAAGGGGAAAATTGCCGATTTTTTCGTTTCCGTTCTCTAACATTAGTTTGCCTGAACCAAATGCTATGAAACTTATACACAATGCTTATTACCACAACATACGGATCAAGTTTGAATTATGGTGCTGTCACTCTAACCGTTCTAGAGTTATGCCTCTTTACAAATGGAAAAATTGCCGAATTTTTCGTTTCCGTTCTCTTACTTTAGTTTGCCTCAACAAATGTTATGAAAGTTATACACAATGCTTATTACCACAAAACACAGATCAAGTTACAATTTTGGTGGCGTCACTTTTACCATTCTAGAGTTATGCTCATTTACAAATAGAAAAATTGCTGAAATATTTGTTTCTGTTCTCTAACTTTAGTTTGCCTCAACCAAATGTTATGAAACTTATTCACAATGCTTATTACCACAAAACTCAGATCAAGTACAAATTTGGATAGCGTCACTTATACAGTTCTTGAGTTATATCCCTTTATAACGTTATATGCAAGCGGAGGCATCATCTGGGTCCCATGGACACATTCCCCATTTATTTTTTGTATGATCCCTAGCCACCCTCAAACGGAATAGTTGGTCATAAGTGTACCGTATCTCGACAGAATATTCAGCCGCTACACCCTTTATTATGGACATATATGAAAAAAAATCACTTGCCTTTCCAGGATACCTTTCAATAAGAACCTGGGCATAAGCAATAAAATAATCAGTCCAATCTTCAACAGAATTTATAGTATGAGTTTGTTTTAACTTGTTTTGTATAACCAACATATCGTTATTAATGCCAAAGGTGTTTCATTATTTGTTTGACTTGAAATTGTTACGGTGCATAAGTGACAAATCAATATACTCAAAATCTAAATTTTATCCTTTTTTTTAAACTTTTGACTTAGGAATTTATCAACCTCATTAAAACCAGGCAACATTAGTGGTTCATCAAAAATTTCATTAATCTCACTCAAAGCAGCTAATTGTGGCTCACTCACCTGAATGTAAACGTCAGGATGCAGGGCAGGATGGAGGGCAGCTAATTGTGGTTCATCCACATAATTGTTTGATTCAGGGCGCTGGAACTCATGGTCAACCCGTCGTCCCCTTTCTAAAGGTGCTTAACTACGTCAATAGGAGGAAGCCTTCTCAAATTTCTAACAACTGGTGATGGCTGTTGTGCTGCTTCCCAAAGAGTTCTCCTAACCCGTCGTGGCAATTGTTCAAGACCTCTAACCTAGTCCTGTCGGCGACGCCTACCTCTATCTCTTGGCATTGTTATAAACTATTATAATTATGAAAACAGATTAGATACATACATCAAGGTTGACAAGCCCGGTTCATATCTAAAAATGAATTAAACTTAAATTTAAGTAAATTGAAATACCAATATCTTTTACACACAATGTACTCTTAAATAAACGTAAATACATGTTAGTGCATTAAAACAATTGACGTTTAATATAAAAACATAACTAAAATCCGCTACAATGTATTATTGTATGCTTTTGATTCAAAGATAAACATCGTTTATTAACGGTTTACTTTCTTCTGTTACCCAACAAACTTATCCGCGAATTTTGTACCAAACATTAAAAAAGATATAACGTGTAATTAAATTAAATTATCCGCGCATTTAAACGACAAAAATTACCGGTTAAAAATGTATCACTCGCACACTAATTAAAAACAAACTAACATATCACCTGAAGTAAACCATTTAATTTGCTGCTAATCAATGATAAATATGTATGTGTACAATGTGACTTTACTATTGAATTAAAGTTTGTTCAAAACAATATGCTATTCAAGTAAGCAATAACGTTGTATTAAAGATTCGAACAATCTGCAAGAAATTAAACAGCTTTCAACTAAAATAAAACCTTTTTTCTTTTACAAATTACAGATATAAAATCGTCCGGAAAATACAACTACAATAATTATATTCAACTAACATAACGGGAAAGCCGCTTTTGAATTAAGCAAGTTAAAGTAAGACGCTCAAGTCATTAAAAATGATAGAAAAGTTAACTCTTGTTTCAGCAGACGATACTCTAAATTTATTAAATTGATTTAATGCTTAATGATTAAACCTTAATATATATTAACATATTATATAATCTATATATCATAAATATTATATAATCTATATATCATAAATATTATATAATATAATATATAATAATATAATCTCAACTTGTTCGATTCGCTCTTTTTTGTAACAACGTATTTGATTTTAACGAAAGGAATCTCTGTATTACTGAAAAATTACTACACCAGGGTTTTTGATATCAAAACTTGTCAAAACTTTTACAAAATTTTATCATCGATACAAGGACACCATTTGTAAATATAAATCAACACGCAGACATCTTATACGTTAAGGTATTTCACATCCAATCTTTTATCTTATCTACACAAAGCACAAACATGCCGACATTCACCTCAAAAGCTAACCAAACCTTTAACGGACTTATCAGAAAGGATATAGTTACGATACTGTTGACAAGTCATTAAAAATGGCATTTTGAGGAATAAATATTGATTCATTCATAGGGTTTTTGCATCGGAAATAAACACATTTATTCAAAAACCAGTTGTTGGCATGACAAGGGTGATGTTTCTTCTCGTATAATTTATGATGGCATGATACTAATCCCCTTCCGGGAGGGATTGTGCTTAGTTTTCATATGGTGAAGACATAATCTTTCGATCAGTTTAATTGAGGTCTGGAGCTGGCCTGTCAGTAATTGCTAGTAGTCCTTTGTTAATTTATATTGATCACGTCTCAGTCCTTACAGCTGAAAGGACGTGCTGGATCAGCTCCTGATTACCCGTTGGCTACAACATGTTACGCTGCCCAGATGGTTCAACGACAAACTAGCTTATGATGTTACCTTACAAGTAGACCCGCGTTAGCGACACTCTGAAACCCATTGTGGATGGGTGAGTGTCACATGCTGCCCAGACGTCCGAGGGCTATGTGTATTTAGCTTCGTGCAGGTTGCAGTCATCTACTACAGAGTCAATGATTCATCTACCAACAACCCATCGTCGTGGTTAGTGGGCTACCAAGCTGATCAACCTGGCCCTGAAAACAGCCGTTGTGGAGTTTCGACTGTAAAGAAACAACAATATAGTAAACAAACCAAAAACAACTCAGTACTGATAGATGGTCAGAAACTGTAGGCACAGAAAACGATCACCAATACAAAATGTACCAAACAGCAATGAAGCTGAATCCATCAATTGGCCCCTTATAGGAGTCATTGCCTTAAATGACGATTTCTGACTAATTTAAGTTTTTTGTCTTTTATCGAAAAAACTTAGATATATATCCGGAACTGAAATGTAACAGTAACAATGATCAGCAAGGCATGGTATACGAACAAATCACATGACTGAAAACTGTCAAATGTTAATTGGAGTTATTGAATCACAATATCTACCATTAAATCTTAGCCTTTCACTTCTGAAACAAATCAAGCAATTTAATTTAATTTAATTTAAGAATTATATTACGATATATCAACTATTAGGGCAGCCATTATTAATAATAGTTCATAGTGTAATAACGAAAATGTTTAATCTTGAAAAGTACTAGACATGAGAAATCTGAGAGGAGCATATTGCTTTTGAAGTCAAAATCTTAATTTCGTAAATCCAACAAAACATTGAAAACTGAAAACATAATGGAAAGAGAAAAACTGTAAAAATTTAACACAAAAAAAAAAAGAGAATTGTAATCTACAAATGTCATTTCGCTAATCATAAATATTTGTTGATGACTTGATGAGAGAGGGAACGGAGAGTCTTTTGTGAATGATTTTTTATTCTGATTTTATTGCTTAAATAATTATATGACATGTTTTGTCTGATGAATAAGATTCAGGTTACTAGGAACCTCTAGTTAAGTATATCATCTTCTTTTCAGAAAGAAAAGATAATCCAGCAAAATCTATTCTTGATGACCATCGGCATTTGACGACAGAACAGTTGTATATTAAAATGCAAGACGCAGGCCTACACTTTGATTCTGCTAATGAAAATCCAACAACAAATGTACATTGGTCAGGTAAATTGACTTTTGCAGCATTTTATGATTAAAATATTAACTGCTCTTACGCAAAGGTACAAAAAAGTTTTTTTGTCCGCCGCGTAACGCGTTGCGGGGGACATGGAAATACCGGGCGTCCGTCTGTCTGTCGGTCCGTCCGTGTGACCGTCCGTGTGTCCCTCCGTCAGTCCGTCCGTCCGTCCGGTCTTGTTAGCGCTCTCACAGGTACAATTCTTGCCAGATTTTTATAAAACTTATACTATAGATTAATATCAGCAATATCTAGGACAAGTTCTATAATGGTGGCCGATCGACTTTTTTTAAAAAGAGTTATGCCCCTTGGAAATATTAAATTTAAGGAAAATGGCCTCGTTAGCGCTCTCACAGGTACAATTATTGCCAGATTTTTATAAAACTTATACTATAGGTTAATATCAGCAATATCTCGGACAAGTTCTATAATGGTGGCCGATCGACTTTTTCTAAAAGAGTTATGCCCCTTGGAAATATTAAATTTATGGAAAATGGCCTCGTTAGCGCTACAAAAAAAGTGTTTAATTTAGTTATTGCTCTTGTACCTTGGTTAGATAAAATATGTGGGACATTGGAACTCTGTTCCCTTATTTTATTAAGTCCAGGAGATCAATCATTTTTTTCGTTTCCCTATTTTTTGGAGGCGGGCAAAGGCATGCTGTAACTTTCGGAGGCGTCACCGATATATATTAGTTTGTAATTAGGTCAGTTTAAAGGAAAGCGCTATTGGTAGGTCAATGATATTTGGTATGCATTTGTATTTCATTTGCAGATTTCATTTTCATAGAGATTATTGAGCCCCGCTCCCTCCGTCATGGTCAGTTGACTTTGTAACTTTTGTGTAGTTTAAGTGTTAATGTTTGTGAGTAGGTCAGTTTAAAGTGAATCACTAATGGTAAGTAAATGATATTTGATGTGCATTTATTAGCCCTACTCCCTCAGTCATGGTCTATTGGCTTCTTTTTTTAATAGTTAACACATTAGAGTTTGTAGTTAGTTAAGGCGACAGTAGGACAGTTTAAGATGAACCACTAGTATGTCAATGATATTTTGTCAAATGTCAAATATGCATGTCTCATTTTCATAGAGGTTATATGACACCGTCCCATCAGTCATGGTTCATTGACTTTAAACTTTTCCATAGGTTGCATGTTAAACCATACGAGCTTGTATAATTTCTCTTTTATCAGAGTGGCATTTCCGATGCATTAGTCGATATGTCAACTTTTAACTTGTGTTTTTTATGTTTAAATATTTTACAGATGGCTTACCCACACAAAGATTAAGATATATAAATAATTTAGATGAAGAAATTAAAACACAAGAAGAAGAACAGTTACCCCTAAATATAACAGAGAGTATAAGCGAAAGCATAACTGACAATACAAACAGTAATAAACTTTTTCCGTCTTTTGAATCATCAAGTGTCTTGTCTACAGGAAGATTTGAAGTAAGAGATGGTTCATTCGGAGAACATAGCATTACGTATCTTAAAAATGTTGCAAGTCAAGAACGGACAGAATTATTAGAACCGAATAGAGATGTGTTGCCTTTAATCGTTCTGTCTAATGTAGACTTAGATAACCGTGGAGGTGCTGATTCTCCAGAAAATACAGAAACCATTCCAGTAAGTGAGCATTTGGATAATGGACAACATATGTCACAAGTATCAGTTATTGTTTCTAGTGAGAAGCCTATTGTTACATGTCCAGAAGATGAAACGCAGTCTGAGAAGAACCCTGAAATGGCTACTACCACTTCGCTAAATGATGCCGATGCTCAATATCGTACAGACGAATTTCGAGATATACAAAACAGCGTTCCATATACATCAGAAAACCATTGTTCTAGGGTTGATAATCCGGTAAATGAAGCTAAAAATGACGAACATCCAGAAAAGGCAGCACAAATTCTGAGTTCTAGGAAAAAGGAGACAACACGTACTGCCATTACAGCCACAAACCTCAGCTCGCCTTCCGATACGAATGATTCTGAAGAGAAGAATCCGGAACAAGAATGTGCTGCGTTGATTAATGATGGCACTGCACAAATAGTGGGAACAGGTTACAGGGACTTACAGAACAGTTTACCAGACAGTTTATCGAGTGATGAGATGGAAGAAAATTAAAAGTTTCTTTTAAAAGTCTCATTTTGGAGTACTTTTAATGAAGATTGTGCATACATTTTGGTTAAAGATTCAGTATCTACTATTTCCACCAAACAACTTCGTATTTGCATGTGCTGACCTATGCTTTTCAAGACGATCTATGTCATTGCTCGTGGCGTCAGTATACATTCTTGTCTTATTAAGGAACTCTGGCCTAACAGAAGACAGTAGTAATATTTTTATTTGTCCTATAGATACGTTCCTATTAGAATCGAAAATGACATGAACCATTATTTTTATTCATATAGGTCTTACGGAAACTCATCATAGATACCAGGATTAACATTTTGCACGACAGACGCGCGTTTCCTCCACAAAAGGACGCTAGAATAAAAAAATGTAAAAAGGCGAAATAAATTAAGAATTTGAAGAGCATTGAGGACCCGAAATTTTGAAAGGTTTTGCCGAATACAGCTAAGGTAATCTATTTTTACCTCAAGAAATAATTTTCGTAATCAGGCTGTACCACCAGATTACATTTACGTAAATCTACTCCTTAGTAAACGTTCATGTCAATTTGTTCGCAGGTGCATACACAATATCACCATCACATTCCACCACGATATTTTTTTCTATTTCAAGCATTGTCACGGGATTTATTGCATATAATGGATTTGTAGGATGCACTTGAAGACTTGACCGCCATTAATGTTGTAGAAACGCAACTGAAAGCTTGGATATCTGCAAATTGCGACTCGAGAGTAATATAACAGAATACTCCACTTTATCAATAGACATTATGGATCTATACGTCGAAGATGTGAAGCTGTCGAGACGAGGTCTTACCAGATATCGGGTCCTCAAAATCTCATTGCTTATAGGAACTTTCATCTGAGTCTCTGGATTTTTGTACTCTTCAGATTTCCATATTTCAAAGTGTTTGCTCTATTGGATGTTAACTTTTTAGTCCCCTACCGACGAAGTCGAAGCGGACTTTAGGTTTGCACTCCGTCTGTCTGTCTGTCTATCTGTCTGTCCATCTGTCAGTCCGGCAAATCACTTTTCCAGACATTTTTTCTTCGTGCTTGAAGATATTGATTTGATATTTGGTTTATTGTTTTATCATGATAAGTTACAGGTCAAGTTTAATTTTCACGATTTTAGCTTTTCTCTTTGTTCAGTTAAAGCCCTTTCCCTAGAATTAAATTTTTGATGAAATACTTATTAATTAGTAGATTTCTGTTCAAAGGGAAATAACTCATTTAAAAAAAAAATTAAAAGACAAAATGACATTTTGGATGTTTTCCTTGTCTTTGGTAAATTGTTTAAAGAATTTAGTGGAAGTTTGTTTGTCATTCTTGAAGATATTGATTTGATAATTAGTATGTAGTTTTATCATGACAAGTTACAGATCAAGTTGGAATTTTGTTCCAGTCTGATGATTTTGTGCAGAGTTATGGTTTTTGGACATAGAAAATTCACTTAAATAATCAGTTTTCAACAGTTTTTTTTCGTCATGCTTGAAGATTTTGACTTGATATTTGTATGTAGTTTACACCATGACAAGTAATAGATCAAGCTAGAATTTCGTTCCATTACAATGAATTTTAACCGGTAGGGGACTATGTACTGCCATGCAATACTCACAAAATGCTTGTTTTTATAGTGATTTATTCAGTATGATTTATTTGTAGTGTTGAAAAAAAAATGTTGATTTGAAAAGTCATGTGTCCTTTCTTTTGTCCATTAGAATGTATTGACTGAGTGAAAGTCCTTAATTTATATATTACATATGTAAACAGTGTATTATGGAAATCGACTTCAATCTTCTTTTTGTGTATTTTACATTGTATTTTGCAATATTTTTTTCATATTGACCGTCAATATATGATATGAATAGAAAAATAGCGCATTTTACGTTGTATTTCGCAAGTTTTTTTTATATTTACTGTCATTATATATAAATAGAAACAGATCGTCCATATTTATATATATTATGACCGTCAATATATATATATATATATAAATAGAAACATAGCGTCCATATACTTAAATACCCTTTGAATCACGTGATCGTAATAACCATTGTCCAATGAAAAAAGGAGAAATCTACACCATTTGTAATATACGATGCCATATATCACGTATTGACTGAGTGAAAATCCTTATTTTATATATTACATATGTAAACAGTTCTTTTTGTGTGTTTTACATTGTATTTTGCAAGATTTTTAATATTGACTGTCAATATATATATAATTTAAAAAAAGAAGCATAGCGTCCATATAATTAAAAAAAAGATACAAGGCTTAAAGTACCTGGAATACCCTTTGAATCACGTGATCGTAATAACCAATGAATATATATATATATATATATATATGTATGTCTGCCTATGTGTAGTGACAACTGTAAATTATACCTTGTCCATCGGATTTCTTATGATTAAGAAATGCCAGGCTTTAGACAATATTTAGACATTCTGTACACTTAAAATACTTTGTGTATTGCGTCTAGATGTCCTTGTTTAAATTCCTACGAGAAGGTAACACCTCCCGAAACGAAAGCTGATTTTTATCAGCTATAGTTAGAGGAGGGGATAAGGCGTCTGCGCAATGCTAGGCGGTGTTGCCGTAGAAGTATGAAGTGAAAAGTACAGGTTCCAGCCCCGCTTGGGAAGGAAGTAAAGAATCAAATCTACTCTAACATTGTTAGGTTGATTTTCTAGGCACTATATATATATATATATATACATAAATGTGTGACTGGGCATATATTCAATACTGTGCATTGACTCCAGACAAAATGTTTTGGAAAGGGATATCAAAAAGGGTTTCACCGCATTTTTGGGGCATTAAAGACAATAGTGATGTCAATTACTTCACAGTTTGAAGGGAAATTGGCTAGCCTTTTTATGCATTATTCAAAACTTTTAGTTGTAAATGTCCTATTAGGTATATATACACAATGTTATTATTATTCCAGTGTCCCTTTCCCGGTCCGTTGAGTTAGGCAGGCTAGGGCAACTCCTGTTCATTTTTGTTAGCGGGTTTAAAATTGAGTTTGCTGTATTAAGGGTGAGCCTCACTTCTTGACCGGTCTATGGTTGCCCTGCCTTTACTTAGGTTTTCTGAGTATCCTGTCTCGCTGTCTGCTCTCTCATGAAGAGATGAAAACATCTGTGTTTAATTGTTGATTGCATGTACATGGTGAATGTCTTTAATGACTCAGTAATCTATCTACTATTGATAATACTATTTTCTGCTGTTAATCGCTACGGCTTTATGCTTATACATGATCAGTTTGTAAAAATTCATGTGATGATGATTTATAAGATATACAATTACCATGTGATATGTTATTGAAATGTAGAAAACTTTTGTCTGAAGTAACGTGGTGTGGTGCACCGGGTTTTGATCAGACAAAAGATAGCTGTTGATAAAATTTACCATGTATTTGTATTAAAGTACATGCATTTATATATATATGAGAATAATTTGATTATATATATATATATATACATACTGAATAAATCAATATTGCAAATTATTTCTGTACATTTATTTTCAAATGTATGATTTGTGTTAATGTTTATGTTTATGTTAATCATTCGATTTGATTTTAGTCAAAATGGCAAATATGAAACACTGCTAACATTAAATGTATGAATTCTAATTTGATCTATGTAAGCGAGAATAATGTTATTTTATGAGCATTTTGTTTTTGCCAAAACAATCATGCTCTTCATCATGAGACTTATATGCCCAGAAATTGCAATTCTGAGGATGTTCGATTTTCTTGTTTTTTTTAACAATATTTAATTAGGGCCCCATCTAGTGACGGGTCGCCCTATAGTGATCAGTCTGTCCGTCCGTCCGTCCGTAACAAATTGTGTCCGCTCTACAGAACCGTTATAATTTCATACTTTATACTTGACATGTATATTAACCAACAACAGAGGGTGTGTCATAATGTTGTGCAACTTCCTAGGTCAAAGTTCAAGGTCAAAACTTAATAAAGTGCTTCATATCAGCTTATCCATACAAATTTTTTACCACACGTTATTTACAGCGGTGCCCACAGAGATGGCTTCCATCTCAATGATGTCTAGTTAACACTCCCTGTATTCCTATTCCATTACCATGTCAACCCAATACCATATTCCAAATATAAATTTTCTCATGATGTAAAAATGGCTCCTTGTAGGAAATTTAGAGGATGTCTAAACGAGAATATACCTGTATTATGGAACGAATTCATGTCAAATTCAACTTCCCACAAAACGAGCCTGCTGATTAAATAAGGATGATTGTGGCTTTTCATTGTGTTTCTCTGTCAAAAACGAAGGGATTACTTGATCAGAATGGAATTTATTTAAAAGCAAACATGATCGTAGAAATGTAAATAGGACGCCTCACATAGATTAAATAATCAGTAGGTAAAACCTACTTGTATGAGTGTTGCCCTGCAAAATAAATGAGAATTTACATGTTCGATTAACTAATGTTTACACTCGACTGTGTATCAATATGAGAAGGCTTTGAATTTTGTTGCAACTGATTTTGAACAGAATTAAGGTCAACTGTCTCGTACTGCGCAACAGGCATATCATTCTGCATGTCTTTTGCACAGTGCTTACTTTCATTTCCCCCTCCTCCATTATGTCGTCACCAAATGGACTAAAACCACTAATCCATAGCCCCTTCGCTTTCTATAATAAATTATGTAATTTCAAGCATACTGGCTATTAAGTCTTATGTTTGAATAAAGTAACAAACATTTCAAGTCAAAACAATACCATACCATTTTCTGGCTTGTGCTGAAAACTCAACATATCTTTAATTGCATACAAGAGCTCACTAGTTCCCGGAAGTTTGGTAGTAAAAAAGGACATTTCTGGTCTGAGCAACAGGCAAACTATGCCCTCATCTTTCAATTTCATGTATTTTGTTTTATCATTTAAAAGAAACTTTCAGCAATGGCTCTACATTGATCACATTCCTTGGGTTATTATTTGATACCATAAATGTCCAAATATTTCATTTATTTACAAAGTAAAAACTATGCGTAATGACTATTTTGTTAACAATATGTACTATTTTCGTGAATGATCTTTCTGACCAGGTCCAAATTCTATACACGACGGGTGCCACATGTGGAGCAGGATCTGCTTACCCTTCCGGAGCACCTGAGATCACCCCAAGTTTTTGGTGGGGTTCGTGTTGCTTAGTCTTTAGTTTTCTATGTTGTGTCATCTGTACTATTATTTGTCTGTTTGCCTTTTTATTTTTGGCCATGGCGTTGTCAGTTTGTTTTCGATCTGTGAGTTTGATTGTCCCTCTGGTATCTTTCGTCCCTTTTCTATACCTAATCAATGTCTGTCAGATGGAAAATCACTCGGCATTCTCACGGCATACCTACTACGCAGAAGGTTTTTCGGCTAAGGAATGTTTACTTCAAGCATTATCCAACATGATCTCAAATAACGAACGTCTTTCATCATCCTAATGCCGGCAAATGCCTGATGGAAATCCTTTGTGACAGATTCGATAACGAAAACACTCCTCGTGATTGTCAATCACATTTATACTGCAGTACATTTTCTACAACTCTTGAACTTCTCCTCCATATCTTTTTCATATATCGATGACTTTGCCAACTAAAACGAAATGACGAATGATTGCGTTACATTAATGCAAATTCAGACCGTAGCCATTATATCCGCTTAAGGCAGAGTGAAGATCGTAACTTTGAGATAATAGAAAAGTTTGCGATTATGTGGGGTAATTTAGATATAATGGAAACTGTATCCAGACAGATAAATACATATTTAGTCCATGAAATTTATCACATGACATGCAAAACAAAACTGCGCAGTAGTAAATCGGATACGTTAGTGAGAATTAGATTATGTCACCGCCACTAATTTCTTGATATTAAGTATTGTTCTTATTTCATACTGAATTTATGTTTGTGAGATTTATCTCAATATTATATACCATTTTTCGTTTTTGGAAGATTCATCTTATGATATTGCATCATAAGTGAAGTTTTATATTGATTCAGTTTCGTATTCGTTTTTATACCCCACGCAACGAGTTGCGGAGGGTATAATGTTTTTGACCCATCCGTCCGTCCGTCTGTCCGTCTGTCCGTCCGTCAGTCCTGTTTCTTGTCATCGCAACTCCTCTCAAACCACACAACAGAATTTCACGAAACCTTATTAGATAATAAGGACATACTATGTAGTTGTGCATATCGACAGGAAATTGCGATTCAATTTTTTTTCTAGGAGTTACGCCCCTTTGAACTTATTTACTTTAATGTACTACTGCAACAGTTTGTCATCGCAACTCCTCTGATACCACACAACAGAATTTCATGAAACCTTTTTAGATAATAAGGACATACTATGTAGATGTGCATATCGACAGGAAATTACGGTTCAATTTTTTTTCTAGGAGTTACGCCCCTTTGAACTTATTTGCTTCAATGTACTATGCAACAGTTTGTCATCGCAACTCCTCTGATACCACACAACAGAATTTCATGAAACCTTTTTAGATAATAAGGACATACTATGAAGATGTGCATATCGACAGGAAATTACTGTTCAATTTTTTTGCTAGGAGTTACGCCCCTTTGAACTTATTTGCTTTAATGTCTTCTGCAACAGTTTTTCATCGCAACTCCTCTGAAACCACACAACATAATTTCATGAAACTTTGTAGATAATAAGGACATACTATGTAGATGTGCATATTGACAGGAAATTATGATTCAATTTTTTTTTCTTACACATATTTTATTTCTCCAATGACAATGTGAGGACGTGGGGTATGTGAGCGCGCTCACTAAGGTTCTTTAATTTAAAGAGATTTCGCTGATTTTAAGTTCCATAAACATGAATGTATTTCACAATTGATGGCAAGCCTATGCAGGGTTATATTTTGCTGTGATATTTTTCTGATGCATTCCGCTAGTTACACGTACCTTTCCAATTTTGTCATTTTTTATCCTTAACTAGTTTCTAGACAACTGTTATAATGATACATTTGTTTATATGTTTATATTGTAGTTACAATAATGTGTTAGATTTTTTTTATTGAACATTCTTATTTGTCTATTGTTCTGATGAAATACATGTGTTTCTAATCATTTCTTAATTCAATCGAGATTTTTTTTGTGCGAGAAAGGAGTTATCATGAAAGATCACGAACAAATATTAATTTGTGACAATTTGAGAGATTTCGCAACATTATTTGTATGTTCAACTTACAGGGAACCATTATTGGTGCAAAATAGGTTTGTTTTTATTTTTAAGAAGTTCGAAGTGAGTTGTTAAAGGGAAAATTCGCGATTTTTTACTTATCATCTTATTATGTTCATAATACCATAAAAAACATATTCACCAAGTTTTATCTGGATATGAAAACTAATAAAGAAGAAAATTGGGAATTATTAATTTTATTTATTCGAACTTCCTGACTTCTGTGACGTAGTTTAAGTCTTTTTGCATGCCGGGAGTGGAATTAGTCTCATTTAAGTCTTGTTCGTTAATCATCTAATTACGCGATTTAAAGCGCATCGACGACTTTTGGCGTAGCTATTAACCAACTGATAATTAAGAAAGTAAAGTGATCAGCCGTGCAACTTTAAAAAAAAATGTACGATTTATATTTTAAGGATTTCTGATATGATTATAGTCATTATAGTAATAAAAGTAAATCATACAATAGAATATTTTTATGAATTTTTTTTCCGACGGATATTTTCAACAAACATATATAACTGATAGTGTATAAAAAATGCATGTTTGTATTCTCACCTTTTACTTCAGTCTAGCAAACATTTCTCGCTAGTACTGTGTAAAATTAATACAATGTGTATTGTACTGTGACACTTAGTGACTACCTGTTGAATGCGTGGTTAAATTCAAGGTATTTAAAGGTTTGCATTCTGTAATTCTAATCTTTTGATTTTCACTCAGTGAATTTTAGCCGTCACGGTTCACCGTTCCAGGTGTGAACATCATTTCGTATATGAATGATAAACGGGAGTGATAGTTTGAGACAAAAAAATAAAAAAAGAAATATAATTATTTTGGGGGAGTAATATGGTGGCACAATAACTGGATAGCCGTGGTATATTTTTATATTTTCCGTAAGCTCAGTTTAAAATGAATTATGACTGCTGAATATTTTTGTAACAATGAAATACTGAATTAATTTAATTGAATAAATAATAATGGCATTCTAAACACGAGTGTATGAACTAAAAATTGTACTATTTTAAATTAGAATCGGTAACCTTGCATATTTGAAATAGATAATTACCAATTGCCATTATATAATTTGGTCCGTCCAAAGCGATCTTTATTTACATATTCAGGAATTAATGTCCTTATCAAAATATTTTAAATCTCACAACGTATAAATACTTCAGCCCAAGGATTTGTATAGTGAGATATACTATACAAATCCTTGTTCAGCCATTTTAAGAAAGATGTTTAAAAAGTTGACAGGAAATTTAAGGTCAACTTTGTCTTATTGGAATGAGATCGAATAATTACGAACAAAAGTTATTTTCCGGTTTGAAAAAGATAAAAAAAATAATAAAAGAGAAATGTGGGTTTGAGACAGAAAAAAATAATTATTTGGGGAGGAATATGGTGGCAAAATACCTGAATCGCCGTTATATATATTTTTTATATTTTGCGTAAGCTCGGTTTTTAAATAGATGGGTGAGTATTTTGTTGTAACATCGGAATTCTGAATAACTTTCAATGAAATAATTTTATAAATAAAAATGGCCCACGAAAACGAGCGTATAAACCAAAAACTGTGCTATTTTGAATTATCATCGGTAACCTTGAATATTTAAATGTGCAGAGAAAATTATCAGTTACATTAATATAGTTTGGTCCGTCCAAAGCGATCTTCATTTACCTAATCGGGAATGTCCTTATTAAAATATTCTACATCTCACAACAAATACTTTAGCTATTTGACCAACGATGTTTAAAAAAAATTTACAGAATCAATCTAACGTCAACTTTCCTTTATTGAATGGAGACAGACCGGCGGAATCAATTTTCAATGTGCTTTATATCTTGTACCTTTGCAAAACTTATCGTTCATTCATAAACCATGTCTATACCGCAGACATACATATACATATAGTTATATGTCTGTCTTAACTGACAAGAATACTCCTGGTTTTACACTAGTAATTTGTTGGGGCTCTTTATAGATTGCTGTTCGGTGTGAGCCAAGGCTCCGTGTTGAAGACCGTAATTTGACCTATAATGGTTTACTTTTATAAATTGTGACTTGGATGGAGAGTTGTCTCATTTGCACTCATACCACTTCTTCTTATATCTATAAGCAGTATATTCTTTAAATTTCTGTGATTTAATACCAAGAAAGAAAAAAATCCCGAAATTAATTTGATACTTTGATACTCAATATTTTTCCTGGAAAATATTCACATCCTCATTCGGTCTGAAAATAAGATAAGAAACTGGTATACAGAACATGCAGAAGTGTGAATGTCATAAAACCTTGTTATATCAGAAACTATTATAAATGTGAACCTGTATACGTAAGACCTCATGGGACGATGTACCTTACCACATACAGGTAATATACAAGTAGCTCTGTTATACCATGGAAGTAATATTTTAAAATATTACTTCCATGGTTATACCCGGAAATGTCAAGGTTAATCACTACCGATACAGAATGTACCAATGCAAAGTAAATTCTGATGATTAAAGTATAAACTTGAAATAGATTTATGATGAATAATATGCAACTGCGGCACCCCTTTTTATCAAAACGTACATGCATGTATTTTAATGACTGTCCGTTATTTCGATTATAATGACAATTGTACGTTAAATCCTATAGTTGGTGAGACTTTTTTTTACCAGATATGCGACTTTTCGTATTTATATTTTCTCTTATTTTATGCATAAGTGCAATATTGGGAATGGTTTATTCCCCCACAAGCTAACGTAATAAATTAATCAACCCTCAAGCTGATCAGACGTTAATACAACTACTATCAGTCTATCCGGAGTGAAGTTTCTTTATTTCTTCAAATAAACTTTTTGGGGATCAATAATGTACGTCCAGTGGCATATATATTACATGCATGTCGGAACAGGAAAATTGGCATAAGATTCTATTGGAACCATGTTCACATTAATATACATTATACCCAACAATTGAGATGATGACTAATTTCTTCAACTGTTCGAGAACAATCTAATTGAAATATAAATCTGTGATTTTACTATGTCCATAACTTCGATGAACCAAAGCAAGTTAGATATCGACCTGTATTTAAATCAAATTGGTTCTGGATGTTCTTTCTTATATTCAATATACAATTTTAAATTGCGACTATCTAAAGTTCCGTAACTTTCTATCTAGGCGTATAAACCAATGATCGACAAGTGCGTACATTTTTGTTAAATCAATAGTCTTTCATGTTTCAAAATGTCCATCATTATTGACAACGAGTATATACTTACATTTTCCCCAATTTACCTTTGGAAAAAATATGTAAATAGATTTTTATTTTAATAAATCTTTTTTGGGAATTATTTAGATTTTCATAAATATCATTCTTTACACCAGAAATGTTATTTATAAACAAGCGTATGAGTTTAGTAATGACTAGTATATCACTATCGGACACGCAAGACAGAGATATTATACACCTGATAGTTTCAAAATGGAAAGTTACAAGTTGTCGGCTGTGTACACTGATCAATACCCTCAGAAGTGAAGCGATGCATGAACATGCTTTATGTAATTGTGTAATAAGAGTTTTTAAGCCCGACAGGAAATCGCTTGAATACCTGGACGTGTCACCTCACAATACCTCAGGGAATAATTTCTTTAGCCATGCTGATGATCAGATAAGAGAAGGTCCGAATTTATTTAAATAAGTTTATTACATAAAAGAATTATGAACAAATTAGATTTTCGAAAACGATTTTACACGGAACACTTATTTATGAAATTGAACTTTGACTTTTTAACTAATTCCCATATAAATTTCTTGTTTCGAAAACTTCGTAAAGAAAAAACAGTTTAAAAACGACAGACCATAGTTATTTAAAAAAATAATTACATTTTCCGTATCAAGTTAGTTAGTCGGATAAATGCGACTACGTTAGGTTACTGCTGGTTTTGGTCCTTTGTGGTTTATAGATATATCGTGGTTTCTAAACCGAGATGTCAAAATGGCCGCACGCAGAGAATTGATACTCTAAATTTAAAATCGATGGTGATCTCTTATCAAGCAGAATAAAACTTTAATATTTATGAATTTGTGCTTTTTTATACAGAATGGACATAATATCAATTTTTAATTTTTTTGCGAAGTTTCCCTTTAAGTAAAAGCTAAATTATGGATGTTTAAAGAAACCTGTTATTATATATATAATACAGTCGTATATAATTGTAATTTGATTTGTGTACAAATTCAACATTTTCTAAAAAATATGGGAATTTTCACTTTTGGACGGGGATGATTAATATCTGAGTATTTTGATTTCTTATATTTCGAAACTATTTTGTCTATTCCGTTTTTGATGTTATTGTTTCATGTTTTGTACCTGCAACCGATAGTAAAGATTTTATTTTGCAGCTCCGTGTTTTTTATTTCTTTTTTCCCCCAATTTAAGTCCAGGTGCTCTCACGCAATCAATTCGTGGTAGATTTTTATTAAAGAAATAGGGACAATTTCCTCTGAATTGCGATTTACTTAAAGTCCTCAATCATGTCTTAATTTCACATTACCAAGCTTATGATTTTGTAGGCCAGACGCGCGTTTCGTCTACGAAAAACTCTTCAGGGACGCTCGAATAAAAAAAAGATTTCAGTATCTTAGATTCAATTGTATACTATAGTTTTAGGTTTGAACAACGTTTCGGAATATTTTTGAACAGATAAATTGCTAAAGATGGATCAAAACTTAATTTTGATAGAGTTTGGTAAATGTTGAGTACTGATCGAAAATGTATAAGAAGAACATCCTTAAACAACACATCAATTCTGTGAGATATAAATCTATAATTTGCATGTCTTTCAAATACAAAATAATACATTTCGGTTAAAGACTTCCTTCGATACCAAATTTTACACAATCTTTTCTTGCAATATTGTCTTAAACAGCAATATATAGCGCTGAATTTCATATGTTTCGGTATTTGAAAAATCTGAAATTATAGATAATTTGCGCATCTTTAGTATTAGATTATTTGTATGTATTACAAAATTTACAGAGTTCGACCCTATCCGTGAAACATATACAGGGGAAATGAGCCTACCTCTATAAATCAGTAGTTAGGTATATATCAGTAATGTATCAGTCTAGCTCAAACAAATAATTAGTACCAATTAACCATATTACAGGAATAATGTTCCAAGATTTTCAACCAAAAGAAGGTATAAGAGACCTCTAACCTCAAGGATATAAAATTAAAACCTTCAGGTTGCTCTTGTTCACACTACCGGTACAAATATAGTCCCACTGGATATGTTATAACAGGAGACCTTGGTATCGTAAACAATGAACTGCTATGGGATTGGTTCCCAAACTAATAAACTAGAAGATGAACTGACGCGTGAAGATCTGCAAGTGAGTGAGGGACGCAGGTGAGGACTATGCACGAAAATGGGTAAAGCTCAAACCAGATGAACCAAAACTGCATATTATCTGAGCGGATCAAAGCTGTTCGACTAGACATTTAAAATCGAATTCAAAATGTCCAACAACAATGAGCACTAGGGTTTCTAACCCTTTAAAGTATTTCAAGCTTGTGGATGCTTTATCATATCTTCACGACACATATATTGTTGTTCCTCCATACAAAGCCTATAACAATATTATTTTATATGCAAAAATCATTATTTGGAATGTCTAACTAAGGAACTGAAATTAAAAGCCCTAGTCGGGGATCCTACATTTACCTCTACATCTTTCACGAAAGAGGAAATTATTGAAAATCACTTTT